ACACAGTCAGACACACAGAGAGACACACAGTCAGACACCCAGAGAGACACAGTCAGACACAAACAGACACACAGAGATTAAAAAGAGAGAGCTGGCCAGCTGGGCTGTGTCTATCCAGGACCCGGGCTGGCCGGTTACAGCTGCAGGCCAGATGTGCTGTTGTACCTGAGTCTGCGGGCGCTGCGCTCAGAGGAGACGATGAAGATGATGATGGGGAAGATCTCCACACGGTGGAGGCGCCTGATGCAGTCCAGCCCCAGGGGCAGCAGGCAGTGAGCACCCTGAAGAAGAGAGAGCACACTGCTGTTCAGACAGGCTTCTCTGGGTCAGAACCTGTACCAGCGCTCACGTGTCGGTACCTGTGGATCTTTGACAGTACCGGTACCAGTGGGTCAGTGTTGGTACTGTACAAATGGGTCGAAATCAGTACCGGTACGAGTGGATCGAAGTCGGTACCCGCACCTATGGGTCAGTTATGGTACTGTCCTAGGGGTACTAGTGGGCAGAAGTCAGTACCAGTACCAGTGGGTCAGTGTTGGTACCGGTACCAGTGGGCCGTGGTGGGTACCTGTGCCATGGCTTTATCCACAGCCTGGACGGTGCAGCAGCGCCGAGGGCTGTTCTCGCTCTCTTCCAGGACGTCGCCCCTCTGCAGGCGCGAGGCGTAGTCCCCGTCGGGCAGCGGCTCTGGGCGGAGAGACGCAGGCCAGACTGAGAAACACTGTGGGCAAGAGCACAGGACCTCCCACTGACACTCTGCCCCCTCCCTGCGCAGACCCCACCCCCCTTTCTGCTCCTGATCCACCAGGGGGCGCCCTACCCAGCTCGCACTTCTGGAAGCCCTGCACTTCGGCCAGCCGGTCGTTCAGGATTTGGCCGAGGATTCTGGGGAGGATGATGACGGGGCGCGCAGTGGGTGGCCGGTGGGGGGTCACCAGGGTGTAGGGCATGAGGTTCACACAGCTGAAGCTCACAGCACTGCCCCCTGCAGACAAAGGCACAAAACAGCAGCTGTCAGTGATCTGCCCTCCTTTTCAGCCCCACTCTGCAACTCCAGCATCACAGCAGCATGCAGGCCTGTTTCAGAAGAGGCACAGCCACCAGCTGCCCTGCGGTTCATGAGCTAACGGGACTGAATGTCTTTCAGCTCATCAGGGGCAGAGTCTCCTCTTGTGCCACAGGTCTGATGTAGTGGAGGCTGCAGCAGCTGGGGCCTGGAACAGGCTCGCTCGCCTGGCGCGCAGCTGAAGGTGAGGCTGCCTTGCCTGGGTGCTGGCGGGGCTCTGCGCCCAGGCTGCTGGGCACCCACAGTGGGCTCCGGCACTGCTGGCCCGTGCTGACGATCCTCACAGCCTTCTGTTTCCCCGAGCACTGAGCCCTGTCAGTCTGGAGAGGAGGAGAGGGGGGTGAGGGCTCAGCTCTTCAACCAAGGTACCAATGCTCAAGTATATTCATGTGTCTAATGTCCACCTGTCTGAGGTCAGCAGCTGTGTGTCCAGCTGTCTGAGGTCAGTCAGTCAGCGGCTGTGTGTCCACCAGCCTCATGTCAGTCAGTGGCTGTGTGTCCATCAGTCTCATGTCAGTCAGTGGCTGTGTGTCCACCAGTCTCATGTCAGTCAGTGGCTGTGTGTCCACCAGTCTCATGTCAGTCAGTGGCTGTGTGTCCACCAGCCTGTCCCTGCAGCTCTACTCACCCGGCGAGACGGCAGGTGTTGGAAGGCCAGGTCCTCAATGGCTCTGATCAGCAGGCGCTGGGCTCTGCAAAGGAAACCCACAGCAGCTGACTAGGCAGCATGTCTTAGTGTCTCGTCCTCTTTACTGCAGAGTCGCAAGTGATCCTCCTGATTGTCTCTTTTGGTACTTCCACCCTTTCAAGCTGTCTCTTCCAATCCAGAGTCTCAGGGGAGCCATGGCCTTTACCAGCAAGCACTGGACACGAGGCAGGATACCCCCTGGATGGGATGCCAGTCAGCAGAGCACACACACAGACACACACTCACACCAGGGTCAATTTTCCCAGAAGCCTATTAACCCACCAACATCCGGTATGTCTTTGGACTGTGACAGGAAACCCATGTGAAGAGACCAGAAGAACATACAAACTCCACACAGACAGCTCCACAGTCCTGGAACTGAATCCAGGAGAGGCAGCAGTGCTCACTACTGCACCACTGTGCTGCCCCAAAACTGTACGCAATATTCTAAATCGATATTGTAAATAAGAACTGTCCCAGCCTGAGGAACAGTGAGCCTGTCTCTCAATAATGTTCCAAATGTTTGTATGTAAGTGTATTATAATGTGTCTATATTGTAAAAGTCTGTAGATTTTA